TGTGCTCATCCCCACCTGCTCTTCACGGATGCAGGTTAGCGTTGCAGGCACGGCTGAGGAAAGCGAGTGTGGTCATAATAAATTGTTATTGCTTCCGTATGAAACTGGACTATTGCTATTATTGTTTCGTTCGATTACTGGATTATTGTTAGGGAATATTTTTCCCTAGGATTTTACGAGTACTGATTATTGAACTGGGTTATTTGGATTATTGATTAATGATTAATGAATATTGAGGATTGTATATGGATGATTGTTGAATTTTGATATTGGTTTTTGAAAATGAGTAGCGCCTCAAATATTGTTCTTGAAAATAAATTTTGAAAAATTTATCCTGAATTTTTGCAAATAAAAGTGGGGCGTTACAGGTTCAAACTCCAAGGTTTGAGACCGAGGGTCATAAAGTCTCTTTAAATGCTCTCACATTCATTGGATTCATCCTATCATATTGCCTCTTCAACCTAGTTGACATCGAGAACAACATGACACATTGCACTGAAATTTCATCATCCTATTACTTCTTATGAGTATTATGGTCAAACGCATAGTACCCAGAAAAAATCTTATTAGGCACGATGTACACCTTTGTGTCCAACACATATTCAACTCGTTTTACCACAAAACAACAATTACAAAACGTGCAGTCAATCCAAATGATTCGGTCCAGTCAACTTATTCATTTCCATCAGTCATTTCAATGATAAATTCAAAATTCTATTCAACCCAGAGAAACATATAGAACAGGAATATAAAACAACTTGATCACATTTGTTAACTAAATTAACATGGCTTTTAATTAATTTAGCTTCCACTATTTTTACATACTCTACGACCCCTTCAGAGGAGTACAGACTCATATCAAATATAGTCATAGTGAGCCAAGATCCACATCCATCCCATTATAGTCCCAGCTAGGGCTGATCACTATAATGTATGTAGTGGTAGGTCTCTAAACCAATTGTAAACAATTACAACTCTTGGTTGATCGAATCTAATTTGATCGACGTCCTTAGATCCTTCCGACGCTAGGGCGACAAGAATTAGCTAAGTAGTCAAAACCATCACATGATCACAAACATATGTATCTATGAATGAGTCTGGGCCTCGTAGACCTAAGCAAACACTAGGGTGTAAATACTTTTGGACGAAAAGGTTTTTGCACTCATTCAATTGTGATGGGTGACGCAATGCATCCAAGATGAGACTTATATTTTATTAGGGGAACATTTGAACGGGGTATTAAATATCCAATATTCAAGCAAGATCCAACTAATATCACATATCGGGCGCCGCCTACCCGAGCATAATATAACGCGGTCCGGCAAATACTGGGCGTCGCATACCCATGCATAATATCGCGACCCACAAATACTGGGCGCCGCCTACCCAGACAATATATAACGCGGTCCGACAAATACTGGGCGCCGCCTACCCAGACAATATATAACGCAGACGCTAACTAAAATAAATATATTTAATTTACTTCAGTTAGACAAACAAGAGCAAATAATCCAATTATCATGCATCTATAATATTCCAAACACCATAAATATGCATTCAAAATACATATGCTAAGCAAATTCATGGATCCAAATAATGTGCTAAAATGTATCAAAATTTCTAAAATTTTGAAACAAGCTCGAAGATTTATTTCGTTCATTAAATATTTCAAAAATATTTAATAGTCATTTGACAATAGTCTTTAGTTTGAAATATACCCCAAGGGTTAATTTTGATTTTAGAAATTTTTCAGATATTTAAAACATGCAAAAATAGCCATTATTTAAGCTTTTTCAAAAATCTGATTTTTCCAATCAACCAAACAGGCCCTAGGCCAATTTCAGAAATTACACATTGACCCCAGAGCCAAATTGAAATAAACCAAGCTTTCTGAAATTGCCAATTGACCCCTAAAATATATCAAATTCTCAAAAGCAAGTCCCTGGACCAAATTCGTTTTTCAGCAGCTTGCCCGCTCACCCATCGCGCATCTGCCGCGGTTCCGACCTCCGGCAAGCCATCGTTGCCCCAGGCCGGCGTCCACTCGCCGGATTTCTCACCGGGCGGTCAAACCGCAATTTTTTTTTTTTTTATAAAGTCCGCCATTAATGGCGGACACGAGCTCGAAGCTCGGTTTTCCGACATCCAGCCATAGAAACGCCGAGCGCAACAGTAGCGGAGGGATGAACCGCGAGCTCCAAGCTCGGTTTTCCAAAAACCAGATTTCCCTTTTTTTTTTATATATTATCGCACGTCCGCCATTAAAGGCGGACACGAGCTCGAAGCTCGAATTTCCGGCGGCCAGCCTCTGCAGCGACAATCGCCGGCGTCAGCGAGGTGTTTCGAGGACGAAAATCGGAGACGGGACATCGATTATCGAAGATGGGTTCAAATCCCAGATTTTGTATGTGATGAACAGAACCAAAACACGATCCCCAAATCAGTTTTTCTTAATTACAATTTAATTATAATTAAAACCAACAAGCAGTGTGTAGGAATTCCCAGATCCGCTGAACATCAATTCCCAGAATTTTACAACCACATCTAAATATTCACGAATAGAACATATCCAAGAACATCATGAAGATTAAGGGTATGTTTGGTAAACCAATTAAGCTAGCTTATAGCTTATTTGGTTAGCTTATAAGCTTCCTATTTAAAATAAGTCTCGTTTGGTAGGACGAGCTTTTTTAAAAAGCTCGAGTTTATTTCATAAGCTACTTTAGGTAGCTTTTCAAATAAGCTAGTTGAATTTTTTATTTCAGCTAGCTTATCAGCTAATTTACCAAACACCTTTTATCATATAAGCTAGCTTTTCAGCTATAAGTCATAAGCTATAAACTATAAGCTCAAAAATTACATATAAGTTATAAGCTAGCTTATCAGCTATCAGCTAGCTTATCAGTTAGTTTTACCAAACGTAGCCTAATTCAAAATTAATTATCTTTAACATTATTAACACATATTTTGATCTATGTAAATCTAATTTAAAATCAAATAGCTATGAACACCGACCCGGCGCTCTGATACCACTGTTGGATTTTGTCGTACGAATCAATCGCACACGCAGCGGAATTTAAAAAATAAAATTCTTACCAACAAGAAGATCCGGTTATAGCTATTCGATTTTGATCCTAGATCGCGAGAACTTACAGTTTAAGCTTTGTCTTCAACTATGGTATCCACGCAATCCAGATCCCGGTGCACGATCTAACGCAGTGAATCTTTTTGGGTGAAGACGCTAGGAATCCTCAATCAGAAAGCCAAAGAGAGAGAGAGTTTTTGTTTTACGGCGCATCTTAATTATCTGATCTCTACAACTGATAAAGAGATACCCACTTATTTATAATTAGGCTAAACCTAATTATATGGGCTTTAGAATAACCTATTGCCCAATAGGTAATTGGACCCAATCCAATTAATGATTTTAATTAAGTCTAAGTCCAATTAAACTTAATTATATATTTTCTATTAAACTTAATTATATATTTTATATCCAATAGAAAATAATCTCATTACTAAAATTAAATATTCCAATCTAATTGAATATTTAACACTCTCGATTCACTCTTAGCCGGAAAATAGATTGCATATTGTGTGACCCTATAGGCCTTCATATATTGACATAAATCTAATTTATGATCCTTACGAAACTCCTAGACTGCGTCGAAGGACGAACTCAAAATATGAAGTACGTTTACATAGACAAAGAAAACAAACATTTAGTGTAGAATTCAATAGTGATACGGTCCCTTCATTCACGACCCACTCGATTAAGCTTAGGACTTGAATGTGTGTCTATCCAAACAGCTTAATCATTTTATCTCATCTTACTGGTTGATTTTATCAGTTACATTTGAACACCATTTCAAATATAATCATATGCACTGGCCAGTGACTTTATCAACTCAGTATAGAGAAAACGAGTATTCTCTCGAAACTATATTTAAGGAATGAATCCTATCTTGGCTCAACTACCAATTCTATGTATATCATGATCTACCCAACACAAGTCCGTGTCTACCCATAAGGGCATAAGCGTTGGACTAGGTCTAAGTAAATCACTCTATACATGAATTGCGTATTGACCTCAAGTCAAAGGACTATTACACCATTCTACACACCGATACTCCCATAGACACATAAACAAATGGTTTATCGGTAGGGTATACCAATACTCTCTAAAGTATCCATGTGTCCATCACGAATAACAATTATTCATAGTAGTGAGACATACTATATTCTCGAAGAATATGATGCAGACCACATGTCAATCTATAACGTATTATTAATATCCCTTTTTTAATGATCATCAATTGAGGCAATTTAAGAGTTATACTCTATCGATTAACATCTCACTCTGTTAATGACAGTGTTAACTCAAAGGAGCATTTAATTAATAAAATTGCAAACAATGAAATAATTATTTAATTAATTGCAATACCATAATTATAACCCAATATAATTATTAATGTGATCATGTATATATGTCGTCATAAAGATTGTCTCTAGGACATATACCAACAAATGAGTGATGGGTGAGATGAAGTTAAGTTAAACTGCTGGATGGTCATAACCCTGTTTTTAAGAGAACTTTTTGTGTTATGGTCATAACCCTGTTTTTAGGAGAACTTTTTGTGTTATCATAGACGTGCAGGTTCTTACTCACATATCAAACATTGTTGGGTGGGGAATTACACCTTGTTACTCCAAAATATATTCGTAGTTCTCCGAAGAGAAGAGCTGAATTCATATGCATTTAGTTGAAAAAGAGAAACCGAATCCATATGCACTTATCAAACTAAAGAAACAGGGCGGCAGTCTACATACATACATACATACATAACCACATATGTAGCAGTAGCTTATTTATTAAATTGTTTGGTTTGAAACGAAAAAGCTCGTCAACAACCATGGCTACTACGCAGATTACATAGAGTAAACACGAGAAAGTAGACGAAAAGCAGAGACACAGTCGCATCAAATCATTTGATTTGATTTCATTTGGTGAGCAAGTATTTAGCTGCAGAATTCAAGATGGCAACCAGCGCGTCCCCAGAAACCAGGGCCGCAGCATTCTCATCTTTGGCCACATACTCTATAGTACCTTTGGCGACGCACTCGTTTTCAGAACCTTCCTTTTCAATCACCTCCCACCGGTATCGGAAAGTGCTGAAACCAAAATCGAGATAGCCGCCTTCAAACAGCTCTGCCACCTTCACTCGTTTCTCGTTGTCCACCACCGTCAACTTCTCCTTACTCGTGGCCGGTCCCCCTATTTGTTAAAATTGCTAATCAAACTACTCAACAACAACACATATTTTCCAACCCAGAAAGCAGTCTTCAAGTTGCAATATAGTTTGCTTGCAAATTTATTAGTTTTCCACCATAATAACTTCATCACCATGTAAATACCAAACAACTGTAATTCGTATTTTGAAACAAACCACAATATAATTTGCCAATGAACTCTAGTATTTTCAAACAAAGCCTCCAAATTGTGAATAAAAAAAGTGAAGTGAGGTAGGTACCTGGAGGGTAAAAGACTTGGAGGATGGTTCCTTGACCGCCGTCGCCTTCCAAGACAACGATCTTGGAGATCTGATCTGGGAGCGCCTGACGGACGATCTCAGCAAATTCCAGGCCGCCGAACAACTTCCACGCTTCGCTTGCTGATACCTTCAACTCCAGCTGCTCCGACACGCTTCCTGCAATATTTTTCTCCATTTTTTTTATTTTTTTATTTTTCTCGCGAGATCTGGAATTTGAACTGTGTGGATAGGCGCAGCGCAGTTGATGGATAGATGACCTAGTGAATAATATTCCTCCAGAGTGGGAGCAGCCCTCCTCTTTATAGTATTTGCAAATTCATACCCCGCTCTTGTTTTAATTTTTTAATTTATTTGAGGGCAAATACTACATTAACTATTTATTATTGTGTCACAATAATGTTTCAATTTTTAACTTTTTTTATTTTATTTTATTTAAGGGTTTCAATTTTAAAATATTTTAAGTTGAAGTAGTTATCAATTTAAGACACCAAGTAACTCTATATTTTTACTTAAATATGTAACAAAGACACTATTATATTGGAATTTATATTTTAAATAATTAAAATATATTTAGTTCAATTACTTTAATAGGAAAATTCATTCATTTAAGATAAATTAATTTTGCATAAATGTAAATTATTTGAATTAATTTTCTTATGGACTAGTTTTACAAATATATTTAATATTTTTATTATAGGTAGTAATTTTTTATATTCTTAACTTTTCAAAAATATAAATTTTATTCACAAATAATATTTTTTATAATTTTATTTAAAACATAACATTATTTTCTAACTATTTTATTTTTTAATTGTATCACATATTAGATTAAAATGAAGTTAAATTTATTTTTTAACTTTTAAAATAAATTTCATTAAACTTTTGCATAAATATAAATTATGAAATCAATTATGTAATTTTACTAAGGATAATAAGTACTTAAAAAATAAATTTTAAAAAAATATTGCGATTTACATAATTATGTCAAAATAAGTGATTTGAAATATTAAATTGGATGTTAAAAAAATTAGACTCACACAATACCTGCAAAATTAAGCCCTACAATAAAATTTCTCTTTATTTTTCTTTTATTTTTCTTTCCATACCGACGGAGAAATTAGTAGCACGTGAACGAGAATAATCGAAAATAATCAAAGAATAATCGAAATTGGTGGAGGTTATTCTAAACCTATTTTAATTTTAATGTTTGTAAGGGAATCCCATCCTATCCTATATATATATACTCAATTATTAGGGAATGTGTAGGCCCACCCTGGTTCTATTAATGCCACGCATTTCACGTGGTAATTTTCAATTTTTTTTTTCTTTTTTATTTTGTATGGTTAGAATAATTCACGATGATTGAATATGAATTCAACTAGTAAAAAACTAGTTTTTTTAATTATAGTTAAGATTGAAAAAAAGTAGTATGGTTAGGTATTAGTGGATATATTAAAATAATATTTAAATTAAAATAATTAAAGTTGATTTGATGTAATAGTAGGAGAAAATGATTGGAAGTGATGGTTGGTTAAAATTATATGAGTGGATAAATAGTATATTAAAGTTGATGAGATGTATTATAATGATTGACTGATATTATTTAATTATATTAGTAATATTTGAGATAGTTGAATTGAGTTAAATTTGAGTTGTGAGTAAAATATTTAATGTTGAAATCATATAAAATCACGCCCTCATTTGCTTGATTTTGTTTGCTTACTCATTGTTTTGTTTGTTTCGATTAATTCAATTTGTTGATTCGTAAAATATGAGATATTTATATGTTTTTATTAAACGTCAAATTATTTCAATAACACCTAGGTCTTTATTTAACCATAAAAATTATAAATGAGCTCACGACAACAAATATGCTTAGTAGGAACAACTAAATATTGTGCCTAAAACCATTGAAAATGTGACTATATATATATTGCAATGAAATGTCGTTGCAAATAAGTCGTTCCAATAGACGTGTGTCTATAAATTTATTGGCACGCTAAAATCGTTGCTATAATGCAAAAGTAAGAGACACGACTTTTGTCATGCCTATTCCATGTAATAAGCACAACCTTTGTTATGCCTATTTCTTGTGTAGGGGAATTTTTTTTAATAATAAAATATGATTATATTGAATATATTGAAATATCGAAATGTTTTAATTCATAAATTGTTATCCACTTTTGTTGTCATATAAAAATTATATCAAAAGTGACATTAAAGCAATAACCCAAATGAAGTACAATCATCATAACCCAAATGAATGTAAAATAACAATATGGTGCTAAAAATGTTTGATTCACCAATCCATAGATACAAAACTATTACAAGTAATATAGGAACAAACATGTTTTTTTTTTTTT